GACAAGGCGAAGACCGTCAACGTCGGCCGATATCTTCGGATCCAAGCTGGAGAGTCGGTGGACCTACCATTGCGCCTGAGGTCGTCGATCCACGACAAGCTGTGGGTCACGCGTGGAGATCATTGGGTGCCGATAGTATCCGGTGGACCGGGCAGGACGAAATATATCTCGATCACCAACATCGGGGACGAAGTTTTGATCCTGCATCAAGACCAACGGATCGGGATCTGGCTGACCGGAGACCATTTGACGCGGATACCGATTTTTTTCTCGATCGGCTCGCGTCGTTACATGGAGTGGCAGAATCTAGCGTTGGTAGCTACAACAGACACCCGATCTGAAGGAATAGAGGCCAAGATCCCGCTGGTGCCTGCGGTGGAGCGGCCCAAGTATGAAACTCTACGCATGATACTCCCAAGACCGAACACGACGTTGATCCAGCGTCGGAAGGTCGAGGCAAGTCAAGATCAAGATATTCCTGACTGTTCACCCTCGGACGAGCCTCCGCCGAACAAGTCGCCGTCGGAGATTCGATCGTTGGATTTGGCGGCTGTCGCAAGCGAGGAGTCGGATGTGTCGTCTATTACAGACAAAGACTCTATATTGCATGCTGTAACGGTCAAGTAGGCGCTAGAAGATCTCGATCGAGTGACGCCAGACATATGGGCGACTAATCCGTTGGTGGAGGAAACTACAGACGTGGAAGGAATGCGAGAAGAGGGTGACCGAGATGAAATTGAGGGCGTCAGTCAGGGTCAACCACATTCGAGAGGCCAGGACCAAGGAACGTCGCCGTCGAAATGCGGCGGATCGGATCTGCCATCAATGATGAGTGTACAACCTGGGACAGGGCATGTGACCGATGATCCATTGAACGACAAGTGTGCCGCATCTATGTCGCAAAACGTCACCTGTTCTTGAAGATCAACCAGCCACATCGGATCTGGACCTTACCTGGGACTCAGATCAAGATTATGATGAATGCATATACTACCACGAAGGAAGTGCTTTATACGCCTAAGACGTCGATCGTCAGATGGCGGTACTGCCGGAAGTGCCTGTGACGGCGGAAGATGTGAGGATCGAATACATTCAACTATGCAGATCTGATAATCAGACTCCAGAAGAAATTGATCGACTTCGCCAAAGGATCTGGAAGTTCCGACACCTCTTGATCGGCAAAGGAAATGCCCTCCCGCCGGCGGCCAGAGGTGTGGTATGCGACATCGATGTCGGAGGAGCGAGGCCTATCGCCCTGAAGTGTTGTAAGTTGCGGATCCAGTTCAGGGAGAAGCTGG